TCAATTTTTCATTATAACAGTTTCTAAGAATAACTTTTTTTAGCACCGATAATTGAAGACTGCTTCAGTCAATTCTGGTCAACTTTAGTCAAACTATTGTTTCCCCCTCCCCAAGACTTTTGAACTTCAGATTACAGATTGTTCACATATAAATGCAATTATTTTATCAACTGATACATGTTCCATTCAAGCAATATTACTTAAAAGCAGATTTGTAAATCATCTGAAAAATTATGGTCTAGACATACATAATTTAAACATAAACACATACTATGCTGTTGTCTACTAATACCAGTTCTATATATAATTTGTTTTTACATTTTGATAGCAATAAGCAAAAATTATATCAGAAACTTTTATCTCATTACTTCATACCATAATGAGAGCTTCACCTCTTGACATATTTGACTGGAGAGTTAAATCAACTTAATCAGATTTTGTCCATACCATAATGAGAGCTTCACCTCTTAACAATCTGGAGAGTGAGACTGAAATCAATAGTCAATCATTATTGATTATAGATAATAAAGTCACTCAATATCTACTTAATAGACTGTCTGTACAGGAAACGTCGGATATAAAGAACAAGAGAATTGGTAGACCTAATGGATGTTCAAAGAACAAACGCTAATTCCAAAGGGCTAAGTATGCAAAAGGGAGTTATGATTCTTGTACAATAAACTTCTCCTTATTGAGACCTATCTACTACGAAGTTTCATGCTGATATCTCTTATAGTTGTTGTGATATGATCTGGAAAAAATTATGACAGACAGACAGACTGATGGAAGGACAAAGTGGCAAGTATATGCTCTAGAATGCATAAAAAACTCCCTTAAAGTCTCAGATTGTGCCTAGTTCCTGGATGGATACCACAATGTATTCAGGAGAGATCCTTAGTATATAATAAACATATTACAGGTAAATACAGGATTTGTAACATCCAAGAAATGCATAATTTATATATATAAGAACTGTTTTGGATGTTGATAATCCTATACTATAATATAAAATGCATAATCTATATATCAAAATTGACATTACCTAAGTATATTTATGTATCACATGCTATTTGATATCCCTGTGAAAAAAATCACTATGTAAAATTTTGATACAGTAATATCTGTGTGATAGATCACTGTGATTCAGAGGGATCAAGTACTACTTCAAGTCAGAAAAGTTTGTAGATTTCAAATTTTTCCCCAAAAATAGCAATGGTTTTCTTTTCTAAATTAACAACTAACTCACAAAATCCATAAAAAAAATCTTCTGAATAAGTGGCATCAAGATGTATTTGATTAAATTTTCAAATTGTAGAATTCAATCCAATATATGATGGACTGACACTACAATTTCAACAATGACAAAGTAGACTCACCTTCCTCTCGGACTGTCTGTATAAAAGTTCCACCTGTGTTTGGGGGTTTCCATTCAGGGTTTGTTAGCTGTGATAAAAACATACCAAGAATAATGAATACCTTTTACCTCACCTAAATCAGATATCGATGACAAATTTGATTTAAGTCCTACACGCATACAATTTAAGAATAGCCCTTTTAAGTATATAGGCAATGTATCACTTATTTTACAGTACTTTTCCACTCGGACATAATTCCCATCTCATGGTCTACTTAAATCATGGATTAACAATAATAGACAAATAAACTCAACTGCACTTGGACAAAACAATTCAAACTAAATAAAGCTGAAACCGAAAAACACAAGTGCTAAGGAAATGCTACAGAAATGCTATGGAAGAGCTTTTCTTAAACTGGAACAGCAAACATGCATGGGTTTGCATGACATTTTCTGTGTTGTATTACTATTGTTGGTAATAATCATGGAGCATTTAATTTCAATTTATTCAAGGTCATTAAGGATAATAATGAAATACCCAGCAACACTGAATCCTCAGAAAACAATTCATTATTACGAGTATACATTGACACTAATGTAAGGACACCGTTGCTAACGATGGAATAACACCAAATCACCTGTTAACTAGTTACAACTAGGCCAGACACCAGAAATCAACCCTGTGATACTGAATATACAATGTATACTTACATGGAAGTGCATTAGGGATAATTCTGTCTTGCCATCTTCTGCCTGGTTGTACTGGTTTGCCTCTGTATCTACTTTGTGGGCCCACTATATAAAATAAACCAGTTCTAAAAGCATTATAGACAACTGTAAGTGCTATTTATTATTATAGAACATTGAAAGACTTTGTCTATGAATAAACGATAAATTTAAAGTCCATTTTATCTCTCCATGTAATGTTTTTTTAAGTGAGGACCACTAATATGTTTTCAATATCAATCAAACTAAAACAGATATTTTTCATGTGTTAACAGTATCAATGAAATTACTTTCGTAAAATCAGCTGGTTGATATATATATTTATCTGTGCATCACAATTCTAAATAAGTTTCATCAAGTGTCTACAGTTATGAAAACCTATACTATCTATTGATCTCTCACAAAGAATTGAAAATGAATGGTGACTCTCTACTTCTTCTATAGCTTTACTACATGCTTAAGTTTGGCCAAAATTGGGTATCCAAAATCACCAAAGGGACATAACTCCGTACAGGCAGGAATGGACCACAATCCTCAAAGTCAGTATACCAAAATAATCAATGTAACTCCCAGTAGCTGAGTGACCTCTCACCTCTGGATGGCCATGTTTTCTAACATCCATCTGAGCAAAAGAACAAACATCTCCAACTCCCACTACTGTGACAGTAAAATTTCGGAAGAAGTCCACGATCTCCAGCGCCTTGTGTCTGAGACACAGACACAAGATGAAAGGTGTGACGAGAGGACTAAGCAGCTCCTCTAGTAGATAGGACTGTTATAATGTAAGCAACATATATAGGATCTTGAAACACATTCCATAAAATTATGTATGAAATTTGTAGAATTGTTTTTTTTTTTGTATTTTTTAAAGAGTATCTTGAGAGATAATATAAAAAAAATGTGGGATTATTTTTTATAAATCTCACACAAATTGGCAATTAATTTTAGGTATACTTCACGATATTCAGAGTCAGCATTGTTTAAAATCTTTGTCTACTATGAAGTCTGTTGTCCTTGTCTGAATTGTGAAAGAATAATTTAATCTTCAGCATACAGGTGTGGCAACATTTCGTTATCATTTTATGGTGTAAGAAAACATATAACATTACATCTCTACCCTAAAATATGTATCTAACACACCCAAAAACTCGCACATGTATATTTTAGAAAACTTCTTCATCATACATACATTCACCAACAAGTGATATTTCAGTGTAATATAAAATTTTCCAAAAAACCCTACAATTTACAAAAAAGAGAAGAAATGTAATCAGCAACAAAGACAAGGAACAGAAATATACTACTTACAAGTTTGTACTGGAAAAGGATTGCAAATTCATCCCGGACTTTGTAGGTGTGAGCGTTGCCTTTCCAGTAGTCTGGGATGTAGTGTATGTGGGACAATATGTTCCTCATCAGTACCTCAGGACAGTACACCATGTGCTAGGGAGAAATCATTGTTACTATGTAGAATATGTTTGAGAAATATCACTACTGGACTGGACTTTAGGTCAAGAACTGTTTCAGCTAGAGAGAACTCTTTAGCTCAAGAACTACCTACAGCTTCAGCTAGAGAGAACTTCTCTTTAGGTCAAGAACTGCCTACCGCTTCAGCAGGGGAGAACTTCTTTTCAGCTCACCAACTCCTTACATATCTTTAGCTCAATCATCAGAACATAGAATTAGTAAAGCTGAGCTCATTGGTTTGATCCCTAACATTTAAAAGTCAGTATGGTCCTCATAGGAAGTTCTAGCCTAAGAGTTATCATGACAAACTTCACCTGTGAATAAGATACTATTATTTTCCCAGTGGTACCTACCTCATCTGGGATAAGGACCCGACATGCTGTCACAACCAGGCCTGTAAAACAGATTTCAACAGAATTTGAAATTGGTAATCATCTGTAATGGATTTAACAATTAATAAAATAGCCGGGACACAAAAACTTTTTATAATTCTTACTACATTATTATCCTTTTACTAAGAAGAAAAAAATTTTTTTTTTTTATATTTCAATTCAGAGTTGGTCATTACGCATTTTACTGTACAAGATGGTACAAGATGCTTGTATTCTTACCTGCTAGTGAGATGGTAGTGAGGACATGTTCTACGCTAAGGACATCTTCATCATACACAGACAGGACAACCAGTACAGCCAGTATGGAGCCAGCAAAGAAGGCAACATTTCTGTAATACAATTCAGAATCACCTTTAAAACACAAGTTTTTATCTGACAAACATATATCATGATTACACATTTAACAATAATCAAACACAAGCAGGATGTAAACAAAGCATCAGAGAGTGAATCCATTATCAATCTTCTGCAGAAAATGTTTTTTTTCTTTGCTACATCATTTACCACTATTATATAACTTTCTTTATCTCATAACTGGCCTATTGTGTCATGTTACATGGCCATGTCATCGTAAGACACATGTATTATAACACTATTGTGACACCATAAATAGGTCAAGTCTTGACGGCATCACATGACTGTTTTTGTACTCAAGAAACCTATTGGAGTTGACATAAATCAGTCTAACCTGAAAACTAATTTGAGAGTTTTCACTTATTTTTCTCAGAAATAAAGGCTATATATGATAAATAGAAAATTACACATGTGCCAATGCATAATGGGATTTATTTAACTTGTTAGAGATTGGGGAAGAATCACATAATTGAACTCACTACATAAATTTAATAGTGCAAGATTAACAACATTATAGAAAAGTTCATGGATGAATATCATTCAAGTGTGTATATCAAGCATAACAAAAACAGAAACATTGAAAACCAGATTGATGCAATAAACTGTGGTAAAAAAATTAAATAAAAATGAAACTTGTTTACCTGTACACTAAACAAAACTTACTTGGCCATGATAATGGTTATTCGAGAAGTAAAGATATTCATGTACATATTTGCAGCTGGGTATCCTCTGTTTAACCTGAAATATGATTAAAGGTTTTTAACTCAATTCAAACATTTTCACTGCAATCATTAAAAAATATTCAGACAAGCTAACTGTCATTCCTGTAATATTGTTACATTATTTCACAAACAATTTTAAACCTGGACCGACTCAGTTTTTATTGCAGAAGTTATGACATAACAGTGTATGTTATCCTGACAAAAAATCACATGATTATTGATCACCAAGTGACTGTTGTACTGACCTTGCGTTGTATTCGTGGTCCAGCTCATTAAAATGTCTTAAATACAACCGGGAATAGTTAGACCTGAAAATAGCAAATTATAACCCTTGTAATGTAATGAGGTAGGACAAACCCCAGCTACTGTCATCAGTATTTAAAAATCACAAGAAACACATGAAATCATTAAAAGGAAATTGAACATGCTGCCTTCCTTGGATATATCATATTTGTTACAAATCTAATATAACTAAAAATGGCATATTTCTAAAGCCAAATTCAGAGTTGTGCTCAACTGGCATCCAGCTTAAAAGACTTAAATGATAAATGCTTTATATCTTTCACAGGCTATCATGATTTTGTGAAAGGTTATGTGCTTGAATACCAAATAGCTTAAGAAATATTCAGATAATTTTGAAATCCCTCTTTCTGGACTATAAGTTATGTATGGTGATGATACTTAAACATAAAAATCTCTGAACTCTGTTACAGTCAACTTTATATTTAAGTATTGAGGCTTTTACTTAACAGTAACACTTACCATCGTCTAGCTCCTAGTATGCCTGGCTGTCTTTTTATCAGCTGGAAAGTAATAGTGCCAGAAATTTAAAGCATTGACAACTTAAAACAAGCGATCATCAAGGTCACTTCTAGTAAATGTATATACCATGTAGAAGAGGTGTGGGGTATCAACTTATGGACTTTGGGCTTTAAAAAGCTTATCCAAAAATCTTTGAAGTTTTAGATGCTGATGCTAAGGAGAAAACAACTTCAGCACATAGTTACTTGGAATCTGTCATATTTCAATAGTTTTGGTAGTTATATACCAATGTTTCACAACATCAAAGGTTCATTCAAGTATCAATAAAACCTGGCATGACATAAGGAATTATAATCATTGGTTATATTACTGGGTTTGATCCTATTTTTTAAAGGAACACACATATTATAAAGAAAATAGTCAAATATTTCAATCCCAAAAACTTTCTATACAAAGTCTTGGGAGAGATTTGTTCATAAACTTACCTCTGCATATCTGAAGAAGGAGTAGAGTATTTGCCAAAGGAAGATGAGAGGGCTAAGAACTAGATTTGCTATACCTATCCACAGAATTCTTTTAGATAACCTGTAACAAGAGAAAACAGCTGTTACTGAAATACTGGTGTCTTACGCAAAACAAATTTTAAAAAGGAAATTAATTTTACATATATATTTAATCTATGTTTATACTGCCTAAATTGCTTGATTCATACAAAAGGTTTTTCTACTTAATTGAAAAAAATGGTGTTTTCATTGAGAAGAATGAGTAAATTATATATCTTGTGAATTTAAGTTCACATAAGTTTTAAATATATGCAATTGGGAATGGGGCCAAAATTTGGCCCCACTTAGCTCCCCCCCCCAAAAAAAGCTCTGAATTTGACATTATAAACAAATGTATACACTTCTTTTTTAAACTACGAGAATTTCTTTTTCATGTACAACCTTCTTAATATCAGATAAATACCTATGTTACTAGTATACTGATTTTTTTTCTGTATCTGAGTGAAAAGGACCAGGTCATGGTCAGTACTCTGGAAATACTTACATTTCCGCTAAATCTTTCCTGCGGTGAGCTTGTCGAAAATCTTCTTTTAATTTCCAATTATTTTCAAAAGGTGACCATGGTCCCCCTGAAATTAACAATGAACAATAGAAGTGTGTTTAAATGTAGCATCACAAATCAGGAAATAAGTGTGGGATAATTTTCATTAATTTAAGTAACTTGCATGCATACATTTGTTATTAATTAATTTGAAATTTATTTATTTTACAAAAATTGTGAAACAAGAGTTTTTTCAGTCATTCTTGTTGGTGGATGGAAGCACACTAGTGGTTTTACTTTGGGAGTAAACCACAATACCGACTGTTCTTGGAATCGAAATCCCAGACATTACTGGTAGGTAAAAGGCGAGTGTGTTATCACTGCACCACCCGACCACCCATTTTTGTTCTTTTTTTTCAGGTAAATAGCATCAGCAAATTTGTATTACAGAAGTGAGACTTAACCTTTCTCCATTCCTGTTATGAAAGATAATTTCTTTTTTCAACTCCTTGTAAAGAAAAACTGTGTGCCAGACTGAATAATAGTGAATTTCTTTAGAATAATTGACTTGAGAGAACATGATGTACTAAATACATGGCTGTTTGATACTTACAAAACAGTATTAACTCTAAATTATATTTCAATCCTGTACTGAGAAACGCACTGAAAAAAGAAAATACATCATTTACACGTGGAAGGGTCTTAAATAATTGTTGAAATAAATAGCGAGGTATGAAAATAAAATTGTATTGATAGTGGTGTGTGTCAAATAGGTGCCTGCTTGTACTTCCGATATACATCAATGTTTATTCACTGATGATCTTGATAAATTGCCTTCTGTTGTCTGTTACATAAACAAAATTTGGTCAACATAAATGGTAACACAACGTTAGAAAGGGTGCGGCTTATACTCTGGTTAGTCTTTTATATGGACCAAATCGGGGGAAAAAATGCTTAAAAACATCCCTGCAGCTTATACTCAGGTAGGGTTTATAGACAAAATACTGTACTATATATAATATATTATACACATTAATGGAACTGTCACGATATCAGCAATTCTTGAATATAATCACATTTTTTTTTCAATTTCTACACTTGTGCTTGCGAAAACCTCATGAAACGAGAGGACAGATTGACAGAAAATTACTTAATGTATAGACAATTATCAGAGATCTATAAATACAGCTTATTACATTGACAATTTTCTGTTTCAGCAAGCACAGAGTAAACCCAAGCATGAGATGACTGAGGCAGTTAAAATCTGTACCCTTTTTGTTTACTTTAGACTTCAAAACCATTTAAATACTCTGATGTGATGGAGACAGACATTTTCTAATTTCATATGTTAAAATTGATCAGAACAAAGTTACATCTTCTATCATATCTGAATTGTCATGTTTAAATATGTCCATTTCTAGAAGCAAAGAGATAATAACCAGTACTTACTAGTCTCCAACTAAAGGCACCTTAAATTTCACCGGGAGTAACGATTTGTTCACCATGGCAATCATGTAGTTTTTAAATCGGAGAATTCTGTGGTATAGATCTGAAAAACACACACACATATATATATATTTGCTGAGTAGTATTTCCATAAACTAATGAAAATGTCTGTAAGATAGAAATGCCCAAGTTCTGATGCATAATGCGACCTCTGACCCTTTAACTAATTTGATCACCTTGGTATGACAGGGTCATGATTTTGATGATATGATACTAAGGGGTAAATATAAACCAAAATGAACCAAATCATGGGACAGACAGACAGCCCCCTCCTTCTCCCCTCGCCCCTCACCCCTCAGCCCTAAAGACAATATATGCCTCTGTGAACTTATTACCTGCTAAATATGGTACATGTAGGAATCAATTACATTTTAGTTTACATATCTAAAGTGACTAAGAAAGGAGGCATGCTAAACAAGAAAGCGAGAAGTTCAAACATAGTATAATATGACCTAATATGACAACAATACAAAACCATGTATTCAATCCTTCCTACGTCTCATAAAATACAATTTGCAAACATGACTGAATTTCTTTTTGGGTATCATTAAAAATCAATAACAAGTATTTTGCATTTCTTGTATAACTGGGAGACATTATAAGTACATGTGAAACTTTTTTTAGGTTAATATATACAGTAGTATAATTTGATAGTTCAAACACCTTCATTCTAGACTAAAATCATCTGGATTGCAAGTTTTCTGGACTCTAAACTTTGGACAACAAAGCGTCACACACAAATTTTTTAACTGGTTGTGATATACTAAAACCTTTCTACATACTGTGTACATGGAACATTGCTTTAGTTTACCTAATTCTGTGAGTTCCTGTTTGTGTATACACATCTGCTGTTCCTTTTGAACCTCTAGCAGACATCGTTGTACTTCATGCCAAGTCATGTTGGGTAGTTCAGCCTGTAAGAGCAATGTAGCTTTGGATTAAAAGTAGTTCACACTATGTATTAATTGTAGCGATATTAAGGACATGTAAAGAGTGAGTATAAGCATATTTCATCAGAGTCTTGGTGAAATTGATCCCCTTGTGCTTACTGCAGAGAATTAATAAAGTTCATCCTCTTGTGCTTACTGCAGAAAATTAATGAAGTTGATCCTCTTGTGCTTACTGCAGAGAATTAATGAAGTTGACCGCCATGTTCTTATATTACTGAAGAGATATTAACTGAGTTTAACACTGAGTTTTTACCACAAGGTTGAACACCCATTGTCCTTATATTAATGAGGAGATATGAATGGAGTTGAAAACAGAGTATTTACTGCAGAGGTATTAAAGTACTTATTGCAGACAATAAGTGGAGTTGAACACCATGTACTTATTGCAGACAATAAGTAGAGTTAAACACCATGTCCTTACATTACTGCAGAGATATTAATAGAGTTGAACACCATATTCTCATATGACTGAAGAGATATTGGATTAAAATGAGTATGTAATAACGCACAGAAGTAAAATGAGCCAACAACAGTATACCTACTGAAAAGGTAATGAAAAAGGGGTGAGCAAATATCATTGTAAGCTGTACTAAATTAAGTAAGAGGGTGTAGAGCAAAGACCAAAATGTCTTCAATGGTGGATTCTGGACCCCTTGTCTGGATATTCAAAGGTATGCAGAGTGATTGACAGAAATGTTACAGCATTAATTTATAGAAATCAATCACAATGATCCCATTATGACTGATTTCTATGAATCAATGTAAAATGTACTATTTATTTAAGCAAATTAATATTTACAGAAGAGGTAAAAATGAATGGATCTCTTTGTACTTTTTAAATAATCTTGATGTAAAAGAATCATTCTCGGAGTGAATACAGATTTTAGAAAATATACCGCAAAGACATAAAACGAGTACTTAGTGTAGATACAGTGAGAGACGAATGTGAAAAAATTTAATAACTGATCGGAAGATATATTGAAAGATGGATGAGAAACAAGTACTTACTGCAGAGATATTGAGGGCATGAATGTAAAAAGAGCGAATCTCTGTGTATTTGATAATGTTGTAGATGACCTTGATAAGACGGAAAATCCAAAACACAAGGGCAACCAGGAGAGACAGCACTATACCAAAGTCAAATCTGAAATATTTAAATAAATAAAATTTTATTTATTTCACAACAATTACAAAACAGGTTTTTCAAACTTATATCAATCACTCCTGTTGACCTGGGTGGAAGCGTGCAAGGGGTCTTACCACGGGAAGAAATCGGAATACCTGGAGAAAACCCACATGTTTGGGCAGGTAACCCTATACCTTTTCACATCCATTCCAGGAATCAAACCCCAAATGGCGAGGTGAAAGGCAAGTGTGTTACCACTGCACCACTCGACCACCTTAATTAAACACTGATCTGAAAATTCTGAAATATATTAATACATAAATCCACATAGATGTGTAATCCTTAAACCAATTCTGGCAGAAAATTTTGTCATCACTATTGATGTTCTTTTGATTATAAAATATAAAGTTAAATTAAAAGACATACAATAATAATCAAATTAACAAATATTACATATTCTTAATGCATTTTTGATACAACTTTTCAAGTAATATGACCAACTCTTGAGATCATTAAGAACAATCAGATTGATTTGAAAGATACATTGAAATCTACCAAAGAAAAGCACTCTTACTTATCAATGGAAATCTTGTAACTAATCTCAGTGCTATTGATGTTACATCAATGTAGAATGTTCATGAGGATGTAATTATTGAGTTTTATTTCAAAATGTTGTTAACAGGAATTGCTACTCTTATGGATATAAATTAAGTGTAAGTACAAAACTTTAGGTATGATATTCACAAATTTATGTGTATGACAATTGGTACTGCAATGACAAATATTTCATGTTACATTTTTTTTCTATATTCGTACTTATTACTATTTATTTACATGAAAGATAATGAAAATCATTTAAAAAAAATTAAAATGCTTTTATCTATTTATTACTCTGGTTGTCGTTCTATGAGACACATATCCAGTAAACAAATGATGAAAATATTGTCAATCTCCATTGCACAAGTCTTCTTTCATAGAAACACAGCTAAGTCGAATCATTAGATAAATCGAATATTTCATTTGGTCTCATTAAATTTCACTTATCCATGGTTTTACTGTAAAATCACTTAACCTGTTCCTGAATCAAATTCTCTTCTAATTTGTATTTTCATTTTTCTATTTTGAAGAAATGCCACTACTTGGTTTGAGAGATACATCACATATACATACATATTATACAATGATGCGTTTATATATTTCCATCTGTAACAAAGTAACCAGGTGATATTGATTATACTTACTGGCCAAGACACTGGTCAAATGGTCGGATGGCCTCTGGAATAGTGACCTTGTGATTTGTCATGTTGGGTTGATTGGCAAACAAGATGTCATATCGGACACATGACGCTAGAAAGGTTGAGAACCATACCACAAACACAAATTGTCTGCAAATTGTAAAGAACACAAGGTAAATCTTTTCATAATGTCATTAAAACCAAAACAGCTGTACACAGGGAAACAAATCATTTACATAATGGCTCAGGGTCTTTTACAACTTCTCATAAAACAGTTAATATTCACCCACTGTTTAATTCAATTTGCCCTTAATATCATATAATAGCCCATATTTTATTTCTGTCCTGTTTGTTTAAGAGTGAAACCAATAATGGTAATCTACAAGTTTCCTTAGAAATACTTATTAATGGTATATAATAATAAGTATTACAATTTACACAGATCACAACATATTTATCAGGGAAAATAAACTCAGGAAGTAAAACATGATCTCTGACAGTGTCACAGGTAGGGCTTATTACAGGACTGATGACAGTAAATACAGCAATTATTTATAATTACACTGAAAATACTACTTATATAGAAGTGTTTAGACAGCCCAGACTTACTGTCAGATAAATAGAGTAATTTTTTATATATAGATAAATCACTATCCTTGACTTTCTTTATCAACAAATAAGATTTCTTTTTTCAGTTTCAAGTGTTCCACCTGTATATCTATCAATGTCTATAAATATAATTTCAAATAACTACAGCTAAGTGAATTTTCTTTTTAAAAGTGTTTCACTCAGATATATTGGTAACGTACATGAGTTGTAGAATATCCTCCACCACCATACAGACATAACCTCCTCTTTGATGGAAGTTGTATATCCGTGCAAAAAAGTCATCTAGATTCTCTATATGGTTCCAACGAGCTACAATTTCAAAAATTTTATTATGTATTAACTCATCTTCTAAAAAGAATTACACTTTGAATTATGTTAAAATAAAAAAGTAGATTGAATGCAATTTATCCATTCTGTTATTACATACACTGTACATGCCTTCAGGAAAATCTACCAGAAGTTAACATTTCATATTTTGAATACTATAGAATAAGTTCTTACCTAAGAAGTACAAAGGTCAAATGAATAGAGAGTACAGTACTAGGACATGTCATTTGTGCTGATATAAAACAGTAAGGTGTTCTACATAAGATATTTTCCATCTGGCAATTAATACAATAACGGGAGGCCTAACAATACACATACATCTATGAACTGGACACTATCTTATCTGGAGACCTGTCCATTCTAGACCTGGTCCAATGAAGTATTCCCAATCATTCTAAACCTGAACTAAAAAATGGCCCTTTTTTATCCCGGGTGTCCAGTTAGGGAGAACCACTAGTGATCTCTTCATAAAAAAATTTTTTGATATTTAAAGTTTTGACAAACTAACATTCAGTTACCTTGTAATTTCATTAGTAAGTATACAAATATTTGTTTACCTGTTCTGTATTCTTAATGAATGGCATAATGATAAGATATTTTACATGTTATAAGTTTTCTTTAAAGATGTAAAATACATATTTTCAGCTGATTACATGTACTTATGTATGTCACCTAGAAATTAATTTCTGATTTTTTTTTAAACTTCCAACAAATCATATCTCATCAACTATCCAACCAAAATCATGTGTCCTAACTCAAGATCTAAAATGTTTTGACCTGAAAACATTGTGATATCAAATCAAGAGCTTTTAAACTAAAACCAGTTATCCAATTGATGGGTATGTTATTTCTAATATAAATTACAAAGCTTTAGAAAGTGAATTTCGGATATATGGATGCTTACAGCTCTCAGGAACCACATGAATCATAAAGTTGGTGTCATGGACTGGAATTTCATTGTCATCTGTTTCTTCCTCTTCATCATAAGAAGCCAGTGACTGGTACTGCGTCTCATACTCTGCCATTCTGATCACATTCAGACATCCTTATGTAGAATTAAAACCTAAAAATTCAAATTTAATTCTGTTAGATTATATGGTTGATATATTCCCTCAAAATTTCAGAGTACAATGTACATGAATATTGGTCATTCATTAACAGAAATATATTGTGTAACACAAACATACAGACTGGCATATCATCATGTGCTTATCCTCAATACTCCTGGGGTTACAATCACAAGTACTCAAGCTCAAGCCCATTGACTCTCAGTTAAGACTGCCTTCCTGAAATGGGTCACTGCTGTCCTATTTCTTCCTAAGACAGATGTGACTCCCTTAACTCCTCAGCTCTGAACCTACCTGGATCTCCAGAAACTTGTCCTGAGTCTATCATATTTTATTGTTTATTCATTTCAAACCTTATAGATCATTAGTATAACAATTAAATACATAAGAATAAAAAAATATTCAGACGTTATATAAACAATAACTTATATTGTACAAGAGGAGAAAAAAAAACAGACTGGTGAGCAATTGAGTACACATAAGAGTATGAAAGGATAAGAGAGGAACAATCACCACATGAATAGTGCAGGACAGTACCATTTTATCTTATATCTGAATCTTCTCTATCTCTACCTATACCTCTGTATATAGTGCTCTCTAATAGGGTCCTAAATATATATATCCATAATTACGCATACCTGTCTGACCTTCTTTGATATCCTTTAACTAGAACTTGTCATTGCTCTGATATCCAGTTCCCTTATAGGACACACAGGTATCCTAATGTGCTGTCAGATACCACACCAGAGATCTCACAAAGTGACCATATTAATCGAAATGTAGGTATACGTATAACTTGTATACTTTACATTCAAATTACGTATGAAAAAGATAAAATTGTTACAATTATTCAAAATACATGATTTCACTCAAATACGGCATGTAATGACTATGCTTGCTTTCAATATTTTCATTCCATCAATAATTAGGTCGATCATTATATCGACTACAATACAATAGGCTCAATTCTGAAACACATGTTAATGCGATAAACAAAACAGGCGATGAATCATCGTCAGTAATATAATTTTATAATAGAAAGAGAAAGATCGAGATCTCTCAGCGAAGTGATAATTTCTAATTACCTGCTTGAAAACGTAAATGTAGGCTGAATAAAAAGTGAATTACTGCCCCATCATTGTATTATACGTAATGCCCAAAAATGGATATTCAGCTGACCTCTTGATATGCCCTCAGCTGGCGAGAGCAAACCAAACAGACGATACAATACTTTGAAAATATTGAAGGACAACACATGTTTACCTTTCACGAAGTAGAAATCACATTGTAACGGTTGGAATCAGCTGCAAGTCTCTCACATTTTCATACTTATTGAAAAAATGCGTCTTATTCAACAGATTTCCAAAGTTTAATTTCTTTCTCAAAATGAAAACAAAAATATAGGAATTGCTTGCTGAAAATAGGTCTTACGTATGCTTTAATGCTAAGGAACATTAACAGTTGTATTTACAAGCGTTATAGCCACCAAGATCAAATTTGTTATTAAACGAACACGACGGAATTTCCCGAATGTTAACGGCGACACACGAGTAATACCGTACATGCAAATCATAGCAAAGGACTCGAGACTCACTAATGACATATATCAAAGACTTTATTAGGTTTCTTTCCATCTTATTATCTAACTATCTTGTTCATTGTACTTCAACTTACAAAAGCCACATATCATACTTTTACACGTAATTAGGGTGAAAACTAAGGATATAGAAGTTTTTTTTTTTTACTTTCTTGGTGTGCATATGTGACATGGGGTTATGCGCTACGTCAATTTTAATAAATTCTTATAAATTATCGTGCTTATGTCAATATGATCATTGCCTCCTGCTGTAGTCTCATCTTTATTTTGTGGTATAAACTTTTTTCTACAATGTCGTCACACAAGATGTACAAACAATATTGTGTCTTATTGATTTTTTGTCATAATAATAGCTATACAGATCTAATGATATATATATATACACGACAATAAATATTCTTTTATCTTGATCAAGGTAGAAGTCATCTATCACATTAAACCTCAATAAAGAGGCCACCTGTAATACAGTGCACCTCAATAAAGAGGCCACCTGTAATACAGTGCACCTCAATAAAGAGGTCACTTGTCATACAATACACCTCCATGAAGAAGTCACCTTTCATACTGTATAGCCCTATACAGTCATCTGTAATATTGTGTACCTCCATAAATGCCTGTCATATTGTATACCATCATACAGAGGCCACCAGTGTCATACTGTATACCTCCATACAGTGGCCACCAGTGTCATACTGTATACCTCCATAAGGAGGCAACCAGTGTCTTATTGTATACCTCCATACAGAGGCCACTTGTCTTACTGTATACCTCCATACAGCAGCCACTTATCTTACTGTATACCTTCATACAGAGGCCACCAGTATCATACTGTATACCTCTATACAGAGGCCACCAGTGTCATACTATATACCTCCATAAAGAGGCCACCAGTGTCATACTGTATACCTCCATACAGAGGCCACTTGTCTTACTGGGTACCTGCATACAGAGGCCACCAGTATCATACTGTATACCTCCATAAAGAGGCCACCAGATCCTGTTTGATCAGCAGTACAGATATTATAGAGATTTAGAAGATGATCCTGTTTGATCAGCAGTACAGATATTATAGAGATATAGAAGATGATCCTGTTTGATCAGCAGTACAGATATTATAGAGATATAGAAGATGATCCTGTTTGATCAGCAGTACAGATATTATAGAGATATAGAAGATGATCCTGTTTGATCAGCAGTACAGATATATAGAGATATAGAAGATATCCTGTTTGATCAGCAGTACAGATATTATATAGAGATATAGAAGATGATCCTGTTTGATCAGCAGTACAGATATATAGATATATAGAAGATGATCCCATTTGATCAGCAGTACAGATATTATACAGAGATATAGAAGATGATTCTGTTTGATCTGACAGAATATTCCAAGTAGACATTTCAGGGTATGTAAACATCAGAATTTTTTTCAGGGACAGTAAATGAATTTAGGATTTAATACACAAGAGGCAATACCAAGTAAGCTCATTTAATAAAAAAAGTACTGTATGATGTCTAACTTGATGGGCCTATTAAGGAATACAAGTTTGCGCCTGGGAACCAAGCTGGATTTGGAGCTGATAAAATGTACAAAAGCTGACTTTGATTTGTCTTATTCACATTTCTTAACATGACATAATTGGATTGACTAAAATTTCCATGGTGTGTGTTGTTGGTGAAGCAGAAGACGTATTGCCTTGTCTTGTTCTAGTCCTTTCCAGAGGTCTCTGTTGATCTTTTTGTTTATATATTACATTCATTTCATCAAATTTGAGTTTGATTTAAAATCTTGTAGACATGACAGCACTTTCCTTCTTGTCTTTATATTCATAATAATTAGTGACCTTGGTCTTTGATCTTCATGCCTGAAGGACCAACAACTGACAAATTAACATCACTAACTGAATATTTCTGTGTTTCATTTGAAAAAAAAACAACAACATATTGTTTAGTGAACTGATCCCTGCTTTTAACATTTGCAACTCATTGACACATAAGAGGTCATTTATATATGGAAACATTATAGCATACAATTCAAATGGCCACTGGTCAAATGCAGTATGTCTCTAGGTCAGCTAGAATACAAATAATGGACCGTCTTTTGAATTATTGTCCAAATTTGCTTTTGACTCTAGCTATAGACCTCTGAAGTGACCTTTGACCTATTAATCAATCTTTGACATAATTATATCATAAATCATTTGTACTTCTTGTTGACATCAAATATTTCTGTATCATTGTTTTAGAATTGTGTAGGGCACCGGGCCCACCTATGTACAAGTCACAGTGTTGGCTCTGCCTCTTGTACTGTTTAACATTTTCTAAAGATATAAAATATTTGACTATTGTGACCTCAAAAGAAATTCAGAGTAGTTTGGTCTTCTGGAAGCTAAAAAAAACAACCAATCATTAAAAGCATTTTGCTCGTGATGTTGACCTGGTTGGTATAAATGGTGTTGAAGATTCTATTGTGAGGTGTTTTTACTCTGAAGTTATTTTAATTTGTAGTTCACAACATATTTGAACAATGTAACTTTAAAAGTAGATCAAACCTATTTTTGAGAGAAAATTTGAATACTAAATCATCCCAGGTACATGTGTATCTACTGCTAAATACCACAGCCATGGCTCTTAAAACTAATTAAATGTTGTTCAACAAGAACGAGGCCCAATGGACCTGCATAATTCACCTGGCATTGTATGATATTGAATGGTACACCCTTGGCCATTTGAGATAAAAAAGTAGAGGATGACTGATGGATGGACAGACTGATGGTAGACAGTATACCAATTTTTAAAAAAGTTTCTAGCACTTAATTTCATACGAGTCAAAAAGTATAACACAGATAGATAATAATACAACAATAAGATTTCAGTTTTTTATTCAATAAATCAGAGTAGACAATGTAATGACAATGATTGGATGAACAATAACTATTGTAACTGGGAATCACAGGTGTGGCATCGTTAAGGTCAGGTAGACTTTGGCCAGACTTTCACACATTTATCCTAGTAACATACATCATTATATACTTAAAGCAAAAGTAGAAACAATCAAATTGACCATGATTTCTATTAATTGCATTAATCAGTCTCTTAATTAGCAAGACAGCATAAAACAACAGTTCCTTAATTACTCTGGCTTAGAGTTACTTCCCCTGTCAAAATTTCTACAACTATCTTTCACATAGATATCATTTATGCATTGGTAATTCATTCGCATCAAGAATGACAAAAATAATAGGACTCGCAAAATATTTAGTAAATTTGCAAAATTTATATCCAATATGTAAGGGATAGCTATACAGTCTTTATCATATTTTTGATATCCTTTGACTTATAAACTCATATCCATGATTTAGTTATCATTATTAATTAACCATGAAGTTCAATTTTATCGGAAATTTGACATGTGTATTCCTAACTTTAATGGGACTTTCTCATCACATGCTTAAGAGTTGAGAGGAGGGGATGATGTTAGGTCAACAATGGCAAAGACCAGAGGGTAAGAAAAAAATAAATATTCATACTCTTATTGGTGAGACAGGTGGATCTCAACCTCTCAACGCAAGAGTCAAACATTTTTCAAAGCGTGTATGTGAAAACTTGATCATTCACTCTAGGGTAATATCCCCAATCTCATCAAAATTGTTACAACATTTTGTTAAATAAAAATTAACGACATCACATCATGTCGCAGAGATAAAATCGGGCACTAGATACCTGTAAACAATTAAAAAATGACCAGACTGAGGTTATTTAATTCATATCAGGTGCACATGTGTATTACAAGATTCTGATCATCTAACGTTTACACTACATTACAATCTGACCTGAGCACACTGCTTCATGGGACGAATATGTCTGGGAAAGACAATTGACTTTTTACATCAAATCTTAAAACACTAAAATATTACATACAGCTGTAGCGATTACACATACATTTCTTTCGGATTGTGCAATGAGAACTCTCTCAGAATGAATCACCAGAGTTATATACGGGTACTCCCTGGTAACACTCAAGGAACAGGTTAACTATGAGGAAGCAACTTACATCATTATTTTTATTTTATCTTATTTACTGTTATACATTTATTTACTTTTTTTCATTCGTTCTTTGGATATATGCCAACAACGCCAGAAAAGCCACCGGGATAAGACGACAACAGTCATTAATGCCAACTCTTTAAACATGAATAAGCACAAATTAGTCCATAAAGCCAACTCTCAAAACAAGTAGCAGCACAAATTAGTCAATAAAACCAATCTCTTAAACCATGAATGAGCACATACTAGTCCATAATGCCAATTTTGAAAATAATTATCAGCACCAATTAGTCAATAAATCCAATTACTTAATCAGAAACTGGCAAAAATAAGTCTATAGAATAATTTTTCAAATAATACATCATTATACTTATACTGGTCAATGATAATAACCAGATATCAAAGATTAAGTGATAGAAACTATTTAAACTGAAGACATCAGTCTGGTGGTGATATTTTGATGTTCCTGTTATTACATAATAAATACAAACACTAATACACCAGTTGGTCAGTATTATGGTATACACCCACTCAGTGAAAAAGAGGACATAATATTACATCTATAGAGGAAAAGATGAATCCTGGCCAAATCTAACCTTATTTGGAGAGAAAATAAGGCAGATTAAAGATCAAATTACCGCAAAGAGAAAGCGTAGCCAACAGCCAA